AGAATCTGTACGACGTAGCTGGAGTAACTCTTCGTTTCCAGCATCGGCGACATTATCTCGTGCCAAATCTTCAGGCCGACCGCCAGATTCTTTTTGCCGGCCTGCGACCATGCCCACAACAAAGACAAGCCAATGTTCTTCCTGTTTTCGTAAGAGTTCCTTACGCTAATCAATTTGGAAATATTGGCGGCGGTCATCTCGGGATTTAAATGCGCTAGCAACTGTAAAAATATCTTATGTCCGATAACGGGGATGCCTTTGACCATGTCGGTGGCCATCGCCGTAAGAGTATTCTCGTAAAAAATTTGTATAGTCTGTTGCCCCGCCATTTCTACTGCCTGTTCAAATATGGAAGAGATTGCTTTAGGTACTAGACTTAATGGATAATCCTTGGGTTTTCCTGAGAATATTGTGTCTTCCTTGCTAATGGGTATCTTGATGTTGAGGAAAGCATCCAGTTCCTTCAACCAGAGCAAGGGAGCTTCAGGGAATCTGATTTGCGCAGTGGTCAGAAGTTCATTGAGCTCTTGCACACTGATCTGCGTACATTATAAGAAATTAATGCATAATTCAATATGTTTGCGCTTTCGCAAAAAAAATTTTTTTTGTTAAAGTATAATATAAGAATGAAATTGGTTTAATATATTAAATGCACAGATAAAAAATTAATAGTAACTATGCTTCTACATGTCTATTTTAAATCAAAAGCAGTCTTACTGCATTTAATGCATCCTTAATAGTTTTTGGAGGTTTTTCCTTTGGCTCTTGTTTCTTCTTCTCAGTTTGCTGCTGCTGTTTTTGTTGCTGTTGCTGCTTCTTCTTCTCCTCATTCTCCTTTGTTTTGTGTTCTTTCCCTTGTGCCTTAGCAGGCTTCTTATTCTCCTTGTTTCCATCTAGATTGTCATACAGTGTCTTAACTTGACTCAATGGTACTAAAATCAAACATAAATTCAATCAGATAACTTTCTTGATATATCAGAGCAAAAAATTGACGCTATTTTATAAAATAATGATAATTCAAAGTGATTTGTCACAAACTGTAAATATATCACATGTTTTTTGCATTATTTTGTAATAAGAAAGAGTAATAGCAGAATGAATCGTTTGCAAAAAAGTACATACATTAGTACCATATTGCAATCGTTTTTTTCAAGCATAGTCGGTCGGTTGTTCACTTGGATTCCACAATTTTTATCTTGCAATTGTATAGACAAAGTTGTGACAA